TTTTTTTTTTTTTCCACGAAGGGACCATACTGAGTTATTCCTGTTATGAGGGAAAAACAAACATTTAAACAAAAAGCAAGCAAACAAAAAGTTCCGAGGCAACCAAGCTAGCTCAGGTTTGGTGGTGGAGTCCCACAGGTCATTCCTTGGAACTCACTCTCCTCCACCAGACCTTGGAGGCAAAAGGAAGAAAAAGAAAAAAAAAGCTGCTGGAGGGCTTTGAGTTCCAGCCAGTTCACTCAGGAGGGCAGGAGTCCCAATATGGCTCTGGGACCACTGGGAAGCCTGGGTCACTGGAGTCCATTTGGCTCACCCTGCTAAGACCTGCCAAGATGCGTGGCAGAAAATTTTCTCTCTCCTTTTTTTTCCTTCTTTTTTCCCCTTTTTCTTCCAAGCAATATTACTTGATTTTGATTCCAAGCACTATATTACTGTACTGCAGCTTGTAAAATAATTAAACGGTATTTTTATCTCCCCTTTGTCCTATCCTTATAACATTGCAGAGCTATAGCTCTGAATAATTTGCTCCTTTGAATCTTAATCTCAATAATTGCACAAAAGGCTTTGTCTCCAGGGACTGAGAAGAACCCATGTTCATTTCCTCTCTCACTGGGTGAGGGGACTGAGTTTCCTAAACCTCCTAGTTTCTATTTAAAGAAAACTTCCCTTGCCTTCTCCCAGGGTCGAGTGTCCCAAGTTGGGGTGCCAGCTGTGGTAACTGATTCCCATGTGGGCTTTACAGAAAGCAGGGAAGAAACAATTAGGGTGAGGTAAGGCTCAGCCCGATTTGACTGGAACCAGCACTGGCCTGGGACTTCTAGAGTCTGGTCCAAACCATTTTACTCCGGCCTTTAAGCGCGGCACAATTTTGGAAAAAGAGTATTCAGGTAACAATTAATTCAGCCCCAAGTACACAACAATTGAGGACATGTTTGCATTGACTCTTTGCCAAGTACATGTGGCTTCATCTCCGTGATAGTTTCTTGTGGACTTAGGATCAGTGCTCAGGATAAGGGTCTACGGAGCATGACAGACATAAACATGACATGTGAGTGTTGTTCCGGTGGAAACTCCACCTCAGCTCCTAGCACCCACATACCCAGAGTCTGGAATGTTCTGGTGGAAGCTCCACCTCAACTTTCCTCCCCCATCTCTCTCTCCCCAAACCCTGCCCCACCAAACACCGCTCCTCCCCGAGAGATGCTCAAGACCACTCCCACAGGGTATTTAAACTGCACCTCAGAAAACAGACACGTGGTTTTTTTGGTTTCCCACCCACACCCACACAGTCCCCTCTGGGGGCTGGAAAATCACCCGGGAGCATTTTACCCATTAAACCTGGGCTTTTTCATAATTCGGTTTGATTTGGATTGCTGTGTTGGCAGAGAGGCTTATGTGGGTGCAGAAACTTTTCAGGTGTCAGGATTGCTCTGGCCATAACATAGAAGTCACTGAGGCTGTTATATATAGCACAAGTGACATCACCCATAAGAGTGGTGGGTTTTATGGTCTAAAAGCAATGCTCAAGATTTAAGGAAAAAGGTCTTGACTAAGGAAAAACATACATTCTGGGAGACACAACAGAGCCTGTCTCTTCAGACAGAAATGGATCACCAGGTTATAAAACGACACCATCCCTGGTATTCCAGGAAGAGCTGCTAAGCACCTTGTTCCAAAACTGAAGAGGTGAGCTGTGGGTCAACTTTCCTGGCTTCTCCAGTGCTTATCTGTGTGCCCAAGGCCTTTTTGCCCTCCACACAAGAGCATTTAGTTCTCAAGAGATGAGTCCTGGGGCTCCAGAATACAGCCTCACCTTCATGGATAATCGCCCTAATTGGGAGGGTGGGCTGTACTGTGAGGTGTTGCTGTGCTTAGAATCCAAGGTAGCTGGGCATGGTGGCTCAGACCTTTAATGCCAGCACTGAAGGCAAGTGGATCTTCAAAGCCAGCCTGGTCTACAGAGTGAGTTCCAAGATAGCCACGATACACAGACAAACCCTGTCTCAAACAAATACACACACACACACACACACACAAAAAAAAAAAAAAAAAAGAATCCAAGGTGGCTCGAAGGACATGACTTGTCTCCATGCCTTCAGTAAAGGACAGAAGGACAGACACAAAATGGAGGCAGATGTATCAGGCTCCTATCCTGCTTTCAGTTACCTTGAGGGCCCAAGTGAGAAGTCTGATTTTTTTTTTGGGGGGGGGTGGGGGGGGGGGTGTGGGGAGGGTTTGAGACAGGATTTCTCTGTGTAACAGTCCTGGCTATTCTGGAACTCATTTTATAGACCAGGCTGGCCTTGAACTCACAGAGATCCGCCTGCCTCTGCTTCCCAAGTGCTGGGATTAAAGGCGTGCGCCACCATCGCCCGGCGAGTCAGTGATTTTTAACCAAACAGCTTTAAATGTCTGCTTCAGTAGGATATACCAGGTTACTGACTCTGAATGGTACTGGACTGTCACTCAGCAGCTCCCTCCCACAATCACCATAGGCCAGGGTGGAAGTGGGAAGCTATTTTGGGGGGTTCAGGGCTGCATAGGTACGTGGCTTTGGCATAGGTACCTGGCTCTGAAGGGCCCATGAGGCAGTCAGCTTTGTTGTGAGCCTGGGAGCGTGGCTGGTGACCTTCGGCTCCGAACCCCCAAGATTGGGTTCAGAGCTCGGGCAGTGGGTTTTCAGGAGCACAACACCTGCTGTTGAAGGTCGATCTTTCAGCCTTCCTGGGAGCATCCAGGCAGGGGGCAGGGCCCAGCTGCTATTCACAGGGATTGCCTGGATCTTGCAGGGGGAGGAGCCTCTTCAGCACTGTTTACCTGCCCATGCCCCAAGGCCTTGGTACGAGTGGCTAAACATCCAGTCCCATTCTGACTGAGGCAACCCAGAGCTGAGGTTGACTGACTGCTGCACCTACTGCCTGGGGCTTCGTCTGACTTTCTTTGGGAACGCTTCAAGTCAAGTCATCTGACACCCCGGACCACTGGAATCATGGTAGGAATGGCAGGGGCCATGTTGCAGCCAGTAGATCCGACCAGCTGTGCCCAGGCGGTACCTGTGAGCCAGGTGTGGGAGGGTGCACCTGTGAGCCAGCTGTGTCCAGACAGCACCTGTGATCCAGGTGTGGGAGAGTAAAGCCAGGCCAAGGCTGTGGAGCCATGGGACGGGCCACGGGACCCTCCAAGTGCACTTGGGGAATTGTTGGAGTTAGAAGAAGAGTTATGAGAGAGGAAGGCCTGGGCTGGACTCTTTTAACACCTTCGCTGGGTCTCTGAAAGCTTGGGAAAGACCCTTTACCTCTCTGAGCCTCAATTTTTGGCAGCTGAAAGAGGACTAATATCCTCTATTTGGTGACATTATTGTAAGATCTAATAAGATATGACACATATGCCGGGCGGTGGTGGTGCACGCCTTTAATCCCAGCACTCGGGAGGCACAGGCAGGCGGATCTCTGTGAGTTCGAGGCCAGCCTGGGCTACCAAGTGAGTTCCAGGAAAGGCACAAAGCTACATAGAGAAACCCTGTCTCGGGAAAAAAAAAAAAAAAAAAAAAAAAAGATATGACACATAGAAGACCCAGCAGTGTCTGGTTATACAGTGGTGTGAAACAAACAGGATTTTGATTTCCAGGCTTGAGGCCAAGAAGATGATAGTGCCATTTATTTAGCCCCTGAGACACACCCTGCTAGAGAAGCCAGACCCCAGCCCTTGTCTCCAGGGCCACCTCTTCCAGCTCTGTGCCCACAGCCCTGCTGGGCTGCAGTACTCTTACCTGCTGGGCTGACATCAATGTGCCTGGAGCAGGGATTGACCTGGTTTATCAGGCTCCATCCTTGCTTGACCCCATCCATCCACTTGGCCTCAGACTGGGCAGAATTCCCATCTGTCTCATCGGGAGGGATCACATGATAACAACATCAGGAAGCCCTGCGTGGGCTGCTACCTTCAGAGCAGCGGCTACCCGTTTGATCTTCCTAAGTGGCCTTGACCTAAGAACTGTGGAGGCAGGGTTGGGGATTTAGCTCAGTGGTAGAGAATTGCCTAGCAAGCTCCAGGCCCTGGGTTCAGTCCTCAGCTCTGAAAAAAAAAAAAAAAAAAAAGAACCATGGAGGTCAAAGGGAGCTTGTCCATATGTCCTGTTCACCCCCACCCCACCCCCACTCCCCTGCTTTGTGGCAGGGTGTAGGGCTGGTGATGTGGTTGCATACAATTAGGATAGTGGCTGCTGGCCTGCTGAGACCTGGCTCTCTTCCTGGTACAGGTCCATGGATACAAAGGGGTCCAGTTCCAAAACTGGGCGAAGACCTATGGCTGCTGTCCAGAGATGTACTACCAGCCCACATCAGTGGAGGAGATCAGAGAGGTGGGTCCATCGACACCACACCGGCTGCACAGCCTGCAGCCATGGCCCTGGCCCTGCAGCAGAGGCAGGCGTGGGGCTTCCTGGCCTAATGAGCCACCTCGGTCCCTAACTGCTGACCTGGTTGGGTAAACACAAAGCTCCTCTTCCTGCCTTCCCCAGCTCCAGGTCTGCCCTGCAGCCTGTAGTAATTTGGCATGTCCACCCCAAGCCTGCACAGTAGTGTACCAAGGGTGGCCATGTCTGCACTCCCCTCTCAGACTTCTGCAATGAACTCCATGCACAAACCTGTGTACGTGCGTGCACACATACATGTGCACATGTTCATGCATGCTTATGTACATCATTTGCATGAAAATACATGCATGTGGACCTATTCCTGCGCACAGGCATGTACACATTCATGTGCATATGCACACATAGGCCTCCTATGTGCATGCAGCTGTGCAGATGCACCCACACAAGTACATACATCTATGCACAGGCACACATAAGTCTGTGTGCACAGATACTTGTGCAAATGTGCATTTGTGCACATTTTTGAGTAGGCTTGTGAATACATACGCATATATACATATCTGCGCGCAAGCCCATGTACATATATGTGCATGAGTGCTTCTGCACACACAAACACACATGCACAGACACACATTTACACTTACATATGAGATGACCTTCTGAGAAGAATCAGGGTTGCTGGGGAAGGGCACTAGTGTAGGGATTGAAGCCTGTACCCTAAGAGACACGAAAACAAGCTGGAAAGCAGAAAAGTGGCTTTGATGGAGCTTGGGCAATTAGGGGATGAGGATGGGAGCCAGGAGTGCGCTTCCCGCACAGCCACCAGAAGATGGCTTCTGAGCCCACCTGAGCTTGTGGTAGTGACAGGGTACGGGGTAGTGTTTCCTTGGAGGACCAGCAAAACCCAGAGAAAATGAAAATGGGTGTGTGACCAAGCAGCTCCAGGATTGTGGTGTGACTTAATGACTTGCTCGGCCTTCAGCCTAAAATGTACCCTGGGAGGAGCGGGCGGCACAGCCAGCATTTCTCAGGCGATGCGATAGGATTTGTAAAACGTGGTCCCGGGGCACCTGGATGAATGTGTTTGAGCAGAAACACGAGGAGGACATAAGTGGATTCACTGAGGTAGCATTGTGAATCCATGTTTATTGAGCCAAGTATCTCCAGACATGCTCTACCTTTGCCAGCCCTGGGATGAGTCACAGTCAGCCATGGTCACCATTCTCTGTGGCCCTTTGCTGAAGCGTGGGGTAGATGAAGGGTGCTTGAAGCCACGTTGAAGCTCTTGGGTCCTATCCTGTCACTAGGATACCTTTGAAGGTTTTTTTATTGTTGAGGAATGCAGTAGGATTTGTCTTTTAAATGCTTACCTCACGTTCACGAAGCCCTGGGTTCCATCCTTGGCACTGCACGTATGGCCTGGCAATATACGCTGTGATTCCAGCACTGAGGAGGCAGGAAGATCAGGAGTTCAAGGCCAACTTTGGCTACACAGTGAGTTTGAGGCCAGCCTGGGTTATATAGGTCCCCAAAGGGAGGGACCCTCAACTGGCCCCTATGGTGGCTCTGTAATTACAACATCAGGGAGCCAGGAAGACCACAAACTAGAGGACAGGCTGAGCTGCATAGCAAGATCTTGTCTAGAGCCAAAATGGAAAGGGCTGGAACTGTGGTAGTGTGAACAAGAGCCACACACACACAGACTGGAAGGACTGTGGTTCTCTGTCCCGGCTTCTCTGGAAGCCTCTCTCTCGGCTTTCTGGAGCCAGGCAGGGCCACGAATACCAAAGACACCCCCTCCAACTTCTCCCCACACCCTGCAGGCTGCCCACAGCCCTGAAGGGCTCCCTGGCTTCCTCTCTGAGCAGATCCTGACTGACACTGTCTTCTCGGCAGGTGCTGGCCCTGGCTCGGCAGCAGAACAAGAGAGTGAAGGTGGTGGGTGGCGGCCACTCGCCTTCAGACATCGCCTGTACTGATGGCTTCATGATCCACATGGGCAAGATGAACCGGGTCCTCCAGGTACTGGGGCCCTTGGTCGCCCACTCTCAGCTTGTTCCTAAGCTGAGTAGCTTCAGCCTATGTCCCAGACTCCATGCATGAAATCTCCCAGCCTTTGCCTCAGTTCTCAGCCTCTTCCTGCCCTGGGTCCTCAGAGCGACACCCTGATCCCTGGGCTTCCTCTGAGCAACTGTCACCTGAGCCCTCCCTGGGCTTGCTCAGGCCACTTGTCAAGTCTGCCTGGCCCTCTGTGACCACAGAGATGATATATATCCACCCCATCTTTTGCTAACGATTCCATTCAAACGCATTCAAAGAGGTACGGAGAAATACATTCCCGAGAGTGGACTCACAGTGGCTGATCCAGGGGCACCCAAACTGACACTGGACTAGGCTTACGCAGAGAGAAATGAAGATCAGAGACGGGCAGTGACTTGCCTGTGGTCACACAGCAGACAACAGCAAAGCTGGACCCAGACTCAGAACTGCTATTGGCTTCCCACTGAGATACTGTCTGTGCAGTTCAGCCAGCCTCCACTTGCCTACAGGGGACTTGGGAGTCCCAGAAACATGTGCATAGGACTGCAGTCCTCACCTGCCGGGGCTGGCTCCCCTGAGCTGAAGTCCAGAGAATGCTCTCCCCTCCCCAGAGCCAGCTAGCAATGACCTAGGTTTCTCTACTGTGCTGGTATTCGCTCACACCGACAGGCCCTATCTATCTCTCAGCGAACATCAGCCATGGCAATCAGTCTGATTGCCATGTAGTGAGGACTTGGCTTCAGCAATTGATTTTCCAAGCTCTGTTCCTTGGGTAGCTGGAGGAGCAAGTACTTGGTATTTGGGGGGGGGGGGGATTCTCGTCCCATCTCTGACTTTTCTGTCTACATGACCTTGGGTCTTGGTACCTCCCCTGGCTGCAGTCAGATTTCAGGATACAGTACCCTGACAAACTGTGCTCAGCCATTTTTCTCCCTTCCCGGTTCTTAGCCATTGCCTGGGTCCTCGGGGTGAGAGCAGGCAGAGACTTCTGTCCTCCAAATAGCACGGCCAGGCGCTGTGGCAACAGACCCTGTCCCACTTTCCCAGTGTGGACAAGGTGAGGAGCATAGGTGTGGCAGTCCCCATCCTAGCCCAAGTGTCCCTGGGCAAAGCTCTTTGCTTCCCTGGTTCTCATTTCCTTTGCCTGTGAAAAGAGCACTTACATGGAACATCCCCAAAGAGCTAGAAGTGAGGTTCAGAAGGGAGTCTTTGCCCAGCATGTGCAAAGGCCCGGGCTTCCATTTACAACCCTAGATGAAGAACTGACTTGTGAGACCAGCACCAAGGAACCGAGGCATGCATCTGTAATCCCTTCCCTTGGAAGGTGGACGCAAGAGGATTGCATAGTTGAGGCCAGCCTGGGCTACATAGTTAAGACTGTTGCAAAGACAAATTGTCCCCAATGTCCCAGCATTCTTGGGCTCAGTAACCCTAGTTAGAGTGAAAAGTGGCTTAAGCTGACCACAGGCTAGGTTAGCCATCCTCACATTCCAGAGGGGTCTGACTGGGGACCAAGTGTGGCGTAGCTCCTCCCAGCCTGTGCTGGCTCTTGCAGGTGGACAAGGAGAAGAAACAGGTCACAGTGGAAGCTGGCATCCTCCTGGCGGACCTGCACCTAGAGCTGGACAAGCACGGCCTGGCCATGTCTAAGTGAGTCCCTCCTCCAGTCCCAGCTGGGCTGGGGCTGCCTCTCCCCTCCCTGCTCTGGTCCCCATACTCACGGGTCTGGCAGTGGGGTGCTCACACTACTTGGAGTGTACCCCTTCCTCACTCTCCCACGCAGGGTGCCTTACTTGTCATGCCCCCTAGGTTAAGGAGGGAAACGGGTCCAAGCTTAGCAGAGTTTCGAGCAATTGTCTTGAACCAGGATAAGAGAGTTGAGGGGTTCTATCAAGGTGACCTTGTTTGTGACTGGCTTTCACCTGAGAGGAAGCACGGCCTGAACACTGGTGTGGAAATCTCACTGCAGGTGGAATTAATTAACCCTGTGGACATCTGTGGCTGACCCTCAAGTGTTGCGGTCAGCTCACCTCAGCCTTGCTAGCACAGTCCCCACAATTCTACAGCGTGGAAACCATTGTCCCCTCCCCTCCCCAAAGATCAGGATGGCTAGGCTATTCATAGGGTGACAGCCATGTACAGATCATGTTTAGGCTCTAGAAGCAAGGACAAATGAAGCCCAGACCCCACCTTCGAGGAGCTCCAGCAAGGGACAGGTACTAGATGCAGAAACTAACCAGTACTGTGCAGGCAGTGGGTTCAATGTCAGCGACATGTGGAGGGTGCCAAAGGGGACCCTAGTTCCCCATTACTCATTCTGGGCCTGGACCCCCAGTCTCTGGAGCTTAGCTCTCTCCCAGAGCCCCGAGGAAGCTGTGTGGGTTTCCAAATAGGACAGGTGACTGGGCCCTCTCTCCCCCTCCTGCCCTTCCAGCTCAGGGAGGCACACCCACATAGACCTGCTGTAATGTCTGTGTGTTTAGAATCAGGGCAGTACCTGAGCCTGGGTGGGTTGGGGGGCAGAGGAGTCTCAGCCACAACATGGGGCTCCACTTAGAGAAGATGCCTTTGGTAGTTAGAGGAAGGGGGCCTGCCTGTTGGGCTACAGAGACCTCAAAGACTAAACATGTATGCCTTCCTGCAAACCGGCCCATGCTGGACATGGAGATCAGGGAACTGAGGCCCAGCGAGATGGGCTGATCACAAGCTGGGCCATCGAAGGTAAAGGGGGGTTCTCAAGCAGAAAGGTGTCTTCTGTCCTAACTAACACTTGCTGCATCTGGGGCTCCCATTGCCCTGAGAAGTCCGACTGATCTCTGTCCACCTCTCGCTCCACCTGCTGAGCCCAGTCTAGGGGCGGTGTCTGACGTGACAGTTGCTGGCGTCATTGGGTCCGGAACACATAACACAGGGATCAAGCATGGCATCCTGGCCACCCAGGTGAGTCCTCTAGATCCATGGCAGTGTAGGTCTAGCGCCACATGGACGTCAGGCACTTAACAGTGTGCCCAGAAACACCAACATCCTCCCCAAAACCTTACCAGGCCTGAAGGAGCCCCAGGCATATCAGTGTTTTAGCCAAGGGACACTCATCCCCACACACATATCCTCACAAGCAGCACAGGACAAGGGGGAACCAACTCTACTGGAAGTTATAACCAGGAGCCAGGCACGGTAGCAGCGGAGGTAGGACCTGGGGAAGGCATGGGGGTAACCTGTGGTAGAGTCTGTCCTTTATCAAAAAAAAGTTTTTATCCATATTACTACTCCCTGGTTACGTGCACACTGGCAGATTCCCTAGCTTCTGGGTACATGGCTGTCAAAATCCTCAGCTAAAATGAAGAAAGCCCAGTCCACAGGGAGAGAACTTTTATATAGACTTAAGGTCATAAATTAGCACTCATTAAATAGCGTCTGGCCAAATGGCAGTTCAGAGGTACCTGCATCAGGAGCGGCCTTTCTGAAGCCGAACGCCTTCAACTTTCCACACTGTCAACTTGGAGTCTTCCAAGGCCATTGAAAGGATGATAATCGGTGCTGGTTGCGGGCAGAAAAGCTGGTACGAGCCACGCCACGACTACCAGAGATACAGAGAGCTTTATTGGGAGGGAGGAGGGGATAGGAGAGAGGAGAGCCAGAGAAAGATGGTAGGAGCAGAGCAGAGAGCAGAGAGAGAGCATGGAGTCTGCATCTCCTTTTTAAGGCATGTACTGTAGTCGCCAGCGCCCCCTGGTGATGTAAGATGCAAGACCCTGAGCTGCGCATGTGCAGGAGTGAGGGCAGGATCCTAACAGCCATTGCCACCTCAAAGCCGGGCTTACTGCCCAAGGGGTCAGGGGTAACTGGGGATACAGTCAGGACTCCCAAGATAGGAGCCCAGTTCTTTTCACAGTCTAGGACTGATGTCAAGATGGTCGTGTCAGTTGCTACACCCTGCTCGTCAGGGTGTGAAATTAAAGTGGTCACTAGTAAAAAATGCACATAGGGTTTATTGGTTGCCTTTCTTTGGAAGTCCCACGGAGCAGGCCTGGAATCAAAGGGGAGGGTTTGTTCTGTGTTAGTCGCACGGATGACAACCATATTGATCATTTTTTGGCACTATAAAATGCCTGAGGGAAATCATCTTCAAGAAAGAAAAGTGTATTTTTTTTTTTTTTCTGGAGCTGAGGACCGAACCCAGGGCCTTGCGCTTGGGGCAAGCGCTCTACCACTGAGCTAAATCCCCAACCCTGAAAAGCGTATTTTTTGTTCATGGTTTTGGAGGGAGGGTATGACCCAGGAAACTTGCTTACCACACAGCAGCCAGCAAACAAAGACAGCAAAAGAAGGGACCAGGGACAGGAGAGATCCTTCCAGGGCACATCTTCAGTAGTGTATTTCTTCCAGTTGGACCCCACTCTTGATTTTCACAACCTCCATCAAATTAATAGTCTACCCGTGGATCACTGATGAGGTTAGGTCTGTCATGAGTTAGTGGCTTCCCCCAGACCCATCAGCTGGCAACCAAGACTTTAACACATGCACCTTTGGGGGACATTCAAATTCAAGCAAAACCACAGAAGCAAAGTGAAGGGGTGGACAGCTCTCACCTCTCCTCAGCTTACAGCAGGGGGTTAATCGCAGGCTTTTTGCTTGATCCTCCTACCTTCCTAGGCAGTGAGGACCATCATCTGTCAAGGTCACAGAAGCAGTTAATGAAGAGCCCCGCCCTTCCCAGGCCTTTAGATGCTCACAACGCATCTCACAGGCACGCTGTTCTCAAGGCTCTGAATCTTCAAAAATGGTCCAGTTTCTGTAACAAGTACCAGACGCCCCCTCTCACCACAGCTGGCCACAGTGTCCCTTTTCTGTCAGGTTCCTCCTCTCTGCTCTCCGGTCACTGTTAATCAGAATTAGTTCAGCTGTAGCTGTCCTCTCCCTGAGCAACCAACCACCAACTGCACATGTCAGAAGCAATTTCCCTCCAAATTAGCAGGTAGTGGAGCATAGAGAAGGACGACCTCAATAGCCATGAGAGAAAGAGGGCCCTTCTGGAAGTGGGGAACTTGGGGGCCTCCATCAGTTTGCAATCAAATGCCTCAGTACTCACAGAAACCCAAACTTTCTGGTCAGGTGAAGCTAAGCAGGAGAATGCATTTCCTCCGAGGGAAGAATGCTCTATTGAAGACAAAGACTCCATGTGGCTGGGCAAGACTGTTGGGATCCTGATTCACTGTCCCATCTCAGGGCACATATGTGCTCACTTGGCCTAGTCAAGCACCGATCCTGGGGGCCTGTGTCCCCAGAGCATCTCCAGGCAGTAGAGGCTAGCTGCTTCTTGACTGTGAGGCCACAGAATGACGGAGGACAAGCCAAGCCAGCAGGGTGCCCCACATGATGATGGACTCCACCCTACTGAGAGCTGAGCTCCGATGCCAGAGGCAGCTTTCCTCTCCCCCATGTCTACCCCAGTTCCCAGAATACCCTCTCAGGTAGTGACAATAGACCTGGCTAGGGAGTTGTGTGACTGGCCATGGTGGCCCCTGGGAATAGGTGCTACCTGGCCTCTGTTATAAGGACAAGCCAGAAAGTAGGGTGATTCTGAGCAAGCTATTAAGTGCGACCCCTCTCCCAATGCTAGGTGGTGGCCCTGACCATGATGACGGCTGATGGAGTCGTTCTGGAATGTTCCGAGTCAAGCAATGCAGATGTGTTCCAGGCTGCACGGGTACACCTGGGCTGTCTGGGCGTCATCCTCACCGTGACCCTGCAGTGTGTGCCACAGTTCCACCTGCAGGAGACGTCCTTTCCCTCGACCCTCAAGGAGGTACTAGTCTTTTGCTCTCCACTGCCCAGCCTCAGAAAACAAATGGAGGTCCTGCCAAGGTCTCCTGGCCCTCAGAGAGTTCCCATGGACTTTTAGTGGCTTGAAGGAGGGGGGTCTCACTTTACTACCCCCCTTTTTCTTGGCCCAAGAGAGACTGTGCTCAGAACCCTGGTGGGCTTTAAAATGCAGAAGAACCTCAGGGGTTACTGACATGTGGATGTGGAAGGGGTTGGGGTAGAGAGTCGCCCCAGGAAAAAGTGAGGACGGGCTGTTCTTAAGGGCATCGGCTCCCACTTGTGCTATGGAGGACACTTACCAGGACTCCCTTACCATGGAAGGCACCACAGGCTGAGCTTTGGCCCAATCTCTACACACGGTCACATTCTGGGTGCAGAGGTTAGGGATTCGGTGTAGTAATCTAGTAGACACCGTTCAGCCAGTGGCTGAGAGCTTCAACCCCCTAGGAAACTGATCGATGAGAAGACCCATCACCCCCTAAAAGTGGGCTTTTGTGAAAGAAAGGGGCCTTTGAAGACAGGGCATTTGGCTGAGAGCACAGGGGGGTTAGAAAAACAGCAGTGAAGACGGGGAGGAGAGGGATGGGTTCCCAAAGCAACAGGCAATGGGTGGCCCCTGAGTGCTGCCGGGAACCAGATCAATATCCAGGTCAGAGCGATCCCAGGAGGCCACTGCTGACCTCCATGAGGACAGCTGCAGAGGGGATCTTACAGGCTAAGGAGAGCAGGACCATCATAGACCAGGAAGGGATGGGCAGCTAGGACCATGTTCCATCAGAAAGAGGTTGTAATCTTGCATGCTGTATCGCTGAATCTTTTGTCCTGCTCTAAGTCCAGCTGGAATGTACTGATGCTTAATCTGGAGCTTTTGACCAACAGAAAGGGTTTTTTTGTTTTGTTTTGTTTTGTTTTTTTGTTTTTTGTTTTGTTTTGTTTTCTTCGAGACAGGGTTTCTCTGTGTAGCTTTGCGCCTTTCCTGGATCTTGATTTGTAGACCAGGCTGGCCTCAAACTCACAAAGATCCGCCTGGCTCTGCCTCCCAAGTGCTGGGATTAAAGACATGTGCCACCACTGCCCGGCAGGGTTTGATTTTTCCTTCCAAAGGATGGGAGTTACCCCCCTCACACACACACACACACACACACACCCCGCCCCATCCATTTCTATTAGAGTGCTAGAGCTAGGTGAATAGACTATCTCCTGACACCTGCTTGTCCTGTCTCCTTTGCCCTAATTCAGTAGCATTAAAATCTATTATGGACAAACCTTGGGTCTATTAGGGCTTCTTCTTAGGCTGCCTCCCCAACATGTATATAAGCCCACACATGTGCATATGCACACTCCTGAACACACAGAAACACACATGCACACTTGCTTATATAATGTACTCTCACAACATGCATGATCACACGGAAGCACAAATATATATGTTCATGCTCATATGAACAAAGCTTGTGAACCTGGATGGGAAAGAGCTCTCTTCGTAATAGGTGGGACCACACATGGTTCCATTCAGCAACCACTCAGTGTCATAAAGGGCACTGTTACCTATGAATACTAGAGCCACTCTAGGAGGAAAGATAAGTAGATATGTTGAACAAGCCTCTCAAGATCCAAGGCCCAGAAAATGGTGCTGTTACATTCGCTACTGGGGTCCTAGAGTTCAATCCAGACAACCCATTCTAACACCAGGACTCTTCCTCACCCCACAGCTGCTTGTCAACTCCAAAACCTATCTATACTCTGGGTTCTAAATTTGTACTGCACCTGCCTGGTGGGTCCCATGGAGACATTATTTGTGCTGTGATACTATCTCCAAGCAGGCAATAATGAGTGATGTTAGGATCTACTCTGTCAGAGACAAGAGATGATGAAAATGATGGTGGTGAACATGAGGGATGGTAGTGATGAAGACAAAGATGATGGAAATGGTAATGAGGATGGCTAGGATGATAGTGATGATAGTGGTGGTAAATGAAGTTGAAGACAGATGAAGATAATTATGGTGATGATGATGGTGATGGTGATGGTAATGAAGTTAGAGAAGATGATGATGGTGATGTTAGGAAGAGGAGGATGGTCATGATGGTAATGATGTTAGGAAGATGATGATGATGACGGTGATGGCAATCAGCATTAAAGCTGTAGTACTGGATGTAGGAATTGAAGCCTATGTAGTGACTCCTTTGTGTCTGGTACCACTTTAAGGACTTTCTGGCCATATTATCTCATTTGATCTTCATAACAATCCCCATTCATCACTCACACTGGCCCTGGTTTATACAAGCCACTAATAATTCCTTAAGCTAGGGTAAAATGTCATTTATCTCCTCTAAGCTCCTTGGGGAAGTCAATATGTGCGTGAGTGATTTTAACACCCAGCATATTTTAAGACTATACCAAGCTATTTGGTAATATTAAGATAACTTCAGTATTTCTTTCTATTTGAAGTAAACCAAAACACACCTAGGCCTTGACTGGGGTTTACTGACTTCCTCCTGTGACTAATAGTCTCTCCCTGGACTGGTTTCTCTTGCATGATGTTCACCAATGTGTGACAGACGTGTCTTAAAGGGGGATGGGTTTCTTTGAGCTCACACTCTCGGGACATTCTGCCACCACTGCCGGGAGAGCACAGCAGACAGCAGAGGCAGCAGGGAGGGACCAGAGTTATGCCCCACCTCTGACCCATTGCCTTCCCATAATGCCTTCACATCACGAGTCCATCAAGAGCTTGGCTTGGTCAGGTGGTGGTGGTGCACACCTTTAATCCCAGCACTTGAGGCAGAGGCAGGCAGATCTCTGAGTTTGAGGCCAGCCTGGTCTACCAGGTGAATTATAGGATAGCCAAGACTGTTAACACAAAGAAACCTTGTCTCAAAAAACTAAAAAAAAGGAAAAGAGCCTGGCTTGGTCAGTGATCTAGTCATCTCTGGAGACACTCCCACAGACCTACCCAGGTGGGCTTAACTAATCTAGGTGTTTCTCAATCCAATCAAGTTGACATTCAAGATCACCCATCTTATTTCCCTCTTGTGCCAGGTTCTAGACAACCTGGACAGCCACCTGAAGAAGTCAGAATACTTCCGCTTCCTCTGGTTTCCTCACAGTGACAACGTCAGCATCATCTACCAAGACCACACCAACAAGGTAGCTGCAGTGTGGGCCCAACCTTGCCCGGCATCCCAGAGCTGGGGGCCGCTGGTCACTAGCATACGCACTCTCAATCCTCATCACACCCACGGCCTGCACACCCTGCCCATCCCAGGGAAGCTGACGTTTGTTGTCCTGATGGCCAGGGGAGTGGGGTTGTTGGTGAACATGAAGAGAGGAAGAGACAGAGGTGAAGGTGGGAAGGAAGGTGGCTAAGTTGGGGTCCAGTGTGTCAAAGGGAAAACCTAGATGTGGGGGAGAGACACAGAGAACAGAAGTGTGTGTAGGAGCAGGCAGGATGGACTTGAGTGTCAGACAGCTGGGCTGGGACCACAGAATTCTTCATGCACGCCTTCTGTAACACCTCCACTTGAGTTGAAGAGACAAATTTTTGTCTCCTGTCCTCACAGCCTTGCAAATAAGGGGCTTCTCAGCAGACGGAAACAAATATAGCAGGGTTTCTTTTGGGCCACCAACCAGCTCCCAAATCATGGCTCGGAGACTTATAATTAATTACAAATGCTCAGCCTTTGCTGAGGCTTGTCCCACTAGCTCTTATAACTTAAATGAACCTGTTTCTCTTCATCTACATTTTGCCTCAGCTTTTTACCTTTCTTTTATTCTGTATGTCCTACTCCACGTCTGACTGGCTGGCTGGTGGCTGCCTGGCTGGCTGGCCCCAGGCATCTCCCTCTCTTTCTCTCTTGTTCTGTCCTTCTCCACTCTAGTCTAGCTTCCTTCTATGTATTCTCTGCACCAGCCCCACCGATCCCTCTCCTGCCTAGCTATTGGCTGTTCAGCTTTTTATTAGAGCAATCAGGTGCCTTAGGCGGGCAAGGTAAAACAGAAACTCATTTTTACATCATTAAACAAATGCAGCATAAACATATGTAACAATCTTTACATAGTTAAAGTGATATTCTATCCCACAACAAACAAAGCCATCACTTACCAGCTGAGGTGTTGGTGCAGTTGATAAAGTGTTTGCCATGCAAGCATGAAGACTTACGTTTGATCCCCAGCATCCAGAAAAAAATAAAACTATAAAGAGACTGGGGGTGGTAGCACACAGCTTTATCCTGGCTCTGGGGAAGTAGAGACTTGGGACTTGGGAGTCTTGGGACTCAGTGGTCAGTCAGTCTAGCTACTTAGCAAGCTCCAGGTTCAGTGTGAGACTGTCTTAAAAAGTTAAGATGGAGAGACTAGCTGGGTGGTGGTAGCGGAGGCGGCGTATACCTTTAATCCTAGTACTCGGGAGGCAGAGACAGGCGGATCTCTGTGAGTTCAAGGCCAGCCTGGGCTACAGTGTGAGTTCCAGGACAGGCTCCAAAGCTACACAGAGAAACCCTGTCCCGAAAAACCAAAACAAACCAAAACAAACAAACAAAAAGATGGAGAGACTAAAGATGGAGATACTCAATATTGACCTCCGGCCTCCACATATGCATAGGCACATATATAAACACACACAAAATGAACATTTAAAAAGCCATAATTTGAAAATGAATGTCAGTAGTATCCCAAATCCTACTCTGTGTTAAGGGACAATGTAGGGTTTGTAAAGGGTGGCTGATGTACACCTGGATCATAGGATCTCAAGAGGAGGGACAGATGGTATATGTGAAAAAATGCAGGTCTAGGTAGCTCTCCTGAAAAGACATCTGCTGCCAAGCCTGATGACCTAAGTTCAATTCCTGGGATCCACATGGTGGAGATTAGCTCTGTCATGGAAAAATAAGGCTCCCGATTGTCCTAGTAGGTGGGTCATCCATTTTCCTCCCTCCTTCCCAAATAAATCACATGGAGGATAATTCTTTCTTATGAATGCCTGGCCTTAGCTTGGCTTGTTTCTAGCCAGCTTTTCTTAACTTAAATTCTCCCATCTACCTTTTGCCTCTGGGCTTTTTTTTTTTTTTTTTTTTACTTCTGTATATCTTACTTTCACTCTTACTCTGTGGCTGGCTCCTGGTGTCTTCTCTCCTTTTTCTTGTTCCTCTCTCTTCTTCCCAAATTTCTCCTATTTATTCTCTCTGATTGCCAGCCCCACCTATCCTTTCTTCTGCCTACCTATTGGCCATTCAGCTCTTTAATAGACACATCAGGTGTTTCAGACAGGCACAGTAACACAGCTTCACAGAGTTAAACAAATGTAACATAAAAGAATGCAACACACCTTTACATCTTCCACAGCATAAACGAATGTAGCACATCTTAAAATCATATTCCACAACAGTCTTCTAATGGGACATCATCATAAACAAGTCAGAAAGAAGTTGAGGCCCTGGTGCCTAACTCATGATCCCTTATCCCTCCCAGGCCCCCTCCTCTACATCTAACTGGTTTTGGGACTATGCCATCGGGTTCTACCTATTGGAGTTCTTGCTCTGGACCAGGTAGGAAAGCCTTGGGACCTCTGTCTCATCTTCTGTATGCTGTGGAGGATGCCTCCGCCACTACATCTGCAAACTGGGTCTGCCTCCTGGGTGTGTAAGGCCATGGTTTCAGCCCTGGCCGTGTAGTGGAATCACCTGGAGAGCATGGGGTTCATTCTAAGGGCAACAAAAGTAACTATAAGGATTTGAAGGAGAATAAGGCACCCTGGGGGCCATGAGCCAGTGGACTGGCAAAGGCGAAGAGAATATGGGATGGGAGGAGGGGATGAGTCCACACGAGCAGTGCCTGTAACAAGTCAGAGGGAGTCGAGGTAAAAGAGTGGATGGGTGGGTGGTTTGGTGGGTGGGCGGGTGGTTCTAAATGTTAGTCAGATTTGGCTGCTATGACAAAGCACCTGAGAAAGATATCCTAAAGGAAGGGACATTTAGCTCATGAGTTCAGAGGTTCCAGTCTATGGTCACTGATGCCATTGCTGTGGGGCTGAGGCAGAGACTCATGATGGTGAGGGCATGGTGGCCAAAACCTGACCATCTCACAGCAGGCAGGGAGCAGAGAAAGGAGAGGTCTGAGGCTAGGTGCACATTCACAGGCACATTCCTAGTAACCTAATTTCTGCAACCAAGCCCCATCTCCTGATAGTCCACACAATTGTGAAATCACTGATGGTATGTCAACCCGCTGATAAAGGCAGCACCCAACTCATGATCTAAGCACCGCCACCTAAAGAGCAAGGCTGTGTGCATGTGTGTGCGTGTTAAACAGTGGCATGGTGAACTTTCTAGAGCCCAAAGCTAGGAGCCAGTTGTGTCTTGGCCCAAGAAGCACTGAGCTGTCTTTCTATAGTTCTCCAGGGAACTCCCAGCATTGTATCTAAGGACAAGAGTCTAACCCAAGACCCTCTCCCAGGACACTTCCTCTTTTGGCTGCTTATGCTCAGCAGCATTGAATCAAGGCTCCTAGGGTCTAGGAGAGTGAATGGCACACTCTTTAGGGAGCTAAACCTGGCAGGCACCAGTTAAAACTGAAGTTAAAACTCCACTCAGCCTTGCCCTAGCTAACCCACAAGGCTTTGAGCCATAGACATTTGTGGTTGTGTGGCAGAAAGTGACAAGACCCTGCACACAGTCTTTAAGGGCTGGTGGCAGGAGAAAGGTGAGACAAAGTGGCCACTGTCCCTACCCAGACTAACGCCATGCTGGCCCCAGCCTGGAGAGAGTAGGAGTGAGGAGTGAGGGCCCGGGGTGAAGAGAACTCAACCCACAGCTGACGCACAATAATTGCTGCTCCCCAACCCCTCTGCCCTGCCCCCTGCAGCACCTTCCTGCCATGCCTCGTGGGCTGGATCAACCGCTTCTTCTTCTGGCTGCTGTTCAACGGCAAGAAGGAGAGCAGCGACCTCAGTCACAAGATCTTCACCTACGAATGTCGCTTCAAGCAGCACGTCCAGGACTGGGCCATCCCCAGGTAGTGCCCTCCTCCAGGCCCACCGTGAACCATGGGCCTCTCTAGGGCTGGGAGTCTCTATGGCCGTGAGCATCCTGGGCTGAGGTCCCCGGGAGCCCTGGATAGAGAGAGCCATGGAGGAGGGTTGGGGGAGGTCCCTTCCAACTCTGAGGTCTCTCCCGGGCTGAGGGCAGGGAGAAGACCAAGGAGGCCCTGCTGGAGCTGAAGGCCATGCTGGAGGCCCACCCCCATGTGGTAGCCCACTTCCCTGTGGAGGTGCGATTCACCCGAGGTGACGACATCCTGTTGAGCCCCTGCTTCCAGAGGGACAGCTGCTACATGAACATCATCATGTACAGGTGACAGACAGCTCACTGCAGGGTGTGGGGTGGAGGGAGCGGTCCTCTCATATATAAAGGGATTCCTCTCCTTCTTCCGTCTTCTCGTGCCGGTTTCTGAGGCCATCTTCTCTACTGGGAGATCACACTGATCTCAGCAGCTGGAAATGGCATCTCACCCCTTTGGAGTTCTTCTATTACTCTCTGCCTGTAGACTCTTGTGACATGTACCACTTATGATCTGTGATCCATCACTATATTTTAGCATTAATAGTGAGCTATTAATATTCATGAGGAATATTTACCATTTGTGAGGACCATGGAATGGAATGAGCAATATATATCCCAGCTCAGGTGCCCAGGCCAGTAAGATTTCTGCTGGCCTGGAAGCCACACAGACCAGTTCTGAAGCTGGTTTAACTTCAGTGGAAGAGATGTTAACCTGATGTTAGGATGTACCTGTCAATCCCGGTGACTGAATCCAAGCCCGTGGCTGATCTTTTTTTCTCTCTTTTTAACCAGCATGAGGTACCTGAAGGAGTTTGTCTTTTCTGGTTCCTTGCTAAGATATATCCCTCATCTGCCACCCACCCCACTTCATGCATCCACGTGTCACAGGCCTTCTTTGGCTTTGCAAACCAGTGGCCATCCTGATCTTTCTAGAGTGTTCCTCCCCCATGCGTAAGGTCCCAAATCATCGCAAAGCCAAGGACAGCTGAACTCACAGTTCTTAGGGGGCCCCAAAGAGCCACAGAAGAGCTTCTGAAAGACACACGGAAGGAACAGTAGTCTAGTTCGTAGAGGACATGGCTACGGTGAAGTTCATGTTGGCTATCTATGGGTCTCCTTCTCTTGCTCCTTGAATTCAGATGCATAAGTGAGAGTTGCCGTGGGATGCATCTGAATGTGTTTGTTGGAAATGTTAGCACTGAAGTCAGTTTCGGGGGTCAGTCACTTTGGGGCTGAGTAGCTGGGCAGGAGAACCGACAGACATTTCATTAGGTTACATGGCCATGCTTTCCAGACATGGGTCATCCAGGGAATGTGTATTTGTATATTGTGTGGATACTGTATGAATGAACAATGTGTGTGTGTTGTGTGACAGTCAGGAGTTGCTTTCAAAGGGGACATATTCTGATAAACACACCATGAGCAATTTTGTCACAGTGTCACCCTGTGCAAACCTAGATGGCATGCCCTTCTGCATACCCCTGCTGTTTCTAGGCTGTCTGCCTGGGCAATACATTGTGTCTGTTTTATACTCTGGTAGCTAACCTGTGTAAAGCAATGACCAGAACAAGACAAACTTTTCGTCTCCCTTACCTTAGGGTCTTTGGTCAATATTAAACTCACAGTAATGTCTAGGTATCAACCGATGAATACACAAGGGGACAAAGTCTTGGAGATTCCTTTGATGTGCTATGAACAGAAGGCCTTAGGTGCCTGTCCTAACTGTGCTGTCCTGTGGGGAGAGCCAGCCTGATCTCTAGTCACCTGCCAATGAGAGCAGGCCACAGAGAATGCACCTGAGGCAGTGGAGGCCCTTCATAGGACAGGCATGTAGCTGGAGAGTTTTCTCTCCGGGTCCTGCCAAGATCCGGCAGTCCTACAGCCCACTTATAAACTAAATAAACACAGACACTTATATTATTTAAACTGTTTGGCCTAATGGCTCAGGCTTCTAGCTATCTAGTTCTTACATCTTAAATTAACCCATTTCTATAAATCTATACCTTGCCACGTGGCTCGTGACTTACCGGCATCTTCAGAAGCTGCTTGTCATGGTGGCGGCTGGCAGTGTCTCCCTCCGCCTTCCTGTTCTCTCAATTCTCCTCTCTGTTAGTCCCGCCTATACTTCCTGTGTGGCCACTGGCCAATCAGTGTTTTATTTATTGACCAATCAGAACAATTTGACATACAGACCATCCCACAGCAAGGGCAGGCTGGCTAACCAATTTCTTCCTCTCTGCCCTAGGCCCTATGGCAAGGATGTGCCTCGGCTAGACTACTGGCTGGCTTACGAGACCATCATGAAGAAGTTTGGAGGCAGACCCCACTGGGCAAAGGTAACTTTGCCCTGCACCCATAGCTGCAGGCCTGCTGCTCTGCGCTTTGCTTCCACCAGAGGGCGCCCCTCCTCCGTTACTCTAAGTAACCCAACCAGCTAGTGAAAGGGCACCAGACGCCTCTCCTGTGCTCCAGCTCCAGAAGCTCAGAGGTTGCTGGGCCCTTGGGGTCTTCATAGCAATTTCCTTCACGTTATCATTTTCCTATGGAGCTTGTGAGCAGGATGAGGCAGGCATCTGTGTGCCCATTTAACAGCTAGGAAAGTGAAGGCCTGTGTAGTGGTGGGAGCAGAGCCAGGCCCTCCACAATATTATGGGATGAAGATACCAGTGATGAATTCTAAGCTGCTTCAGCTTTACTTTCTGTCCGGGGGTCTGTACTGTGTGTAGGAGGTCGGGGACCAGTGTCATAACACAGGCTCAGAGACTCTGGGGTGCTGGCCTGTCGCTTGACCTGCCAGCTCTGTAAAGTCAAAGCCTGCTGCCTCCGGTTGTTTCCACAGGCCCACAATTGCACCAGGAAGGACTTTGAGAAAATGTACCCTGCCTTTCGAAAGTTCTGTGGCATCCGCGAGAAGCTGGACCCCACTGGGATGTTCTTGAATTCGTACCTGGAGAAGGTGTTCTACTAGAGCAGGGGTGGCAGCTAGCCTCCCCCACCTCTCAGGCTTCTGTGGCCTTTGGGGAATGGAGCAGTGGCCCACAGGCACAGTGGGGGCCACCCTCCAGTCCTGACCACACAGAAGGGCGGAGCTCTGGGCAGGGGGGCCTCTCTGCTCCTTTCTCCACCATCTTCACAGCACCCCAGGCAAGAGGTGGCCTCTCCCTTAAATCCCTGTTTGCATTCCCATGAGTCCCACAGACATTCCAATCCAGACTGGGGATTTGGTGGTTCCTAGGATCTACCTGTCAGCCAGGTGTCGTGAGGTTCTGAGGCCTGCGGTTCTGCGGCCCAATGCAGAAGGGATCCCTTGGCAAGTGTTTCAGCACAGAGGGGGCATGAAGCACGCTCTGCTTTCTCACTTCAAAAGTTCTTTCGGATGCCCAGAGACTGTCTGGTCCTGGACAAGCCATCTTCCAGATGGATCCACCTGGCCTGACTGTCATGGCCTGACACCCACAGTGTCTCTTTCAGGAGGTGTTCAGAGTGGAACTCACTCATCTGTTTGTTTCTCTCCCATCACCTTAGAGAGCCGGGCTTTCACCAAGTCCCTGGTTTTCCCCAGGTATTGTTCTCACCTTCCTCTTCACAAATGTGATTTCAGTTTGCTCTGTGGTCTTTCTGGAGTGTTCCTTGGAGAACCAAGATGCTCCATCTGCTTTGTATAAATTAAAGACTGAAGATATTTTTCTGCCTTTGAGAAATTCGTATTTCAATTCATAAAGAGTTAAAATGCAGAGTGTACTTACCAACAGAACTGCCAGATCACAAAGGGACAAAGGACCTGGATAGACATTTCTCTACAGCTACACAAAGGCCACCGGACATGGAAAAAGATGTTCAACACCGCTGTTTTAGGAAAGTGGAGATGAAGCCACGATGACATACTATTAGTATCAACAACAAGTATTTTAATGTAAAAGCTTACTTAAAATACTATAGTTGGTTTTTTAAGATTTATTTATTATGTATACAGTGTTCTGTCTACATGTATGCCTGCAGGCCAGAAGAGGGCACCAGATCTCATTACAGATGGTTGTGAGCCACCATGTGGGTGCTGGGAATTGAACTCAGGACCTCTGGGAGAGCAGTCGGTGCTCTTAACCTCTGAGCCATCTCTCCAGCCCAAAATGCTATAGTTTTTAAGTTATTTTTTAAACTTGATTGCCTGTTTCTTACATGTGAACTTTATAGATGATAGTGCCATGTTGACCAGCCAAAAAGTTAGATGAGCCCATTAGGGGGGAACTTCAGGGCTGTGAAGAGTCCACACTAACTTCAACCGGAGTTTGCAGCCTTCAGGGTTGCCTTGCAGACTGAAATCACGGTGCTAAGCCCAACATCGAATCCCTCACTGTTGACGTACCCATCGGTTGCTTTTCTCTTGAGGGCTCTGGAAAGGGTTGGCATGACTCACAAGAGTAGACGTGGGGCGGGAGGGATGGCTCAAGAGCTAAGAGCATGCGCTGCTCTTGTAGAGGACCCGGATTTGATGATTCCCAGCACATGATCAAGAGGCCTACAACCGGGGCTGGAGAGATGGCTCAGAGGTAGAGTACTGGCTGCTCTTCCAGAGGTCCTGAGTTCAATTTCCAGCAACCACATGGTGGTTCACAGCCATCCATAATGAGATCTGGTGCCCTCTTCTGGCCTGCAAGGACACATGCAGATAGAACACTGTATACATAATAAATAAATAAATCTTTAAAAAAAAAAAAAAAGCGGCTTATAACCACCGATAACTCTAGCTCCCTCCTCTGGACTCTGTGGGTACCTGCCCTCACATGCACAACCCCACACACGCATATTACACAAGTAAAAAAAAATTAAAAATTATAGCAAGCTAAACCCTGAGGCATTGGAAATCACCAGGTCTAAGTCACCTCACCCCTTCCCTTCCACAAAAGAGAAGGCTGAGGCTCAGGGAAGTGGGGAAACTTGTCAGTACCTCAGAGTAAGCCACAAAAGACAATGTCTTTAAACTCTTCGACCAAAGTGAAGGGAATGAGACAGGCTGTATATACATGAGGGGTGGGGGAGGAAGAAAAATGAAACCACAGAGCTGTGCGATCGTGAAACATCATGTGTCACTCCATCAGTGAAGAACGAAACCACCCAAATCCAGCTGGGGCCAACGTGACCTAACCAACATGGCCACTGACTGTCCTTGACATCACGATAATGGCAGCTTGCCACCACTGGGCTTGCGACATTGACTTCCCCATTATTTATCTGATGCCATAACACATCTGGAAAACCCCATAAAAGACAGAAAAGTGACCCCTATTCTGGAAAAATCCACACATCCAATCTCCCACCCCACTTTAACTCACAATCTCCCGTTCAGTTTGCTCATACAGGGGGCTATCCAGAGTCCCAGTGACTCCAATCCCTTGAGAAGTCCTTATTTCCTCAGATGTTCTGTTCTTGAATGTGTGTCTCTTCCCATGCCCACACTTAAAGCCTGTATTGACTTAACAAGTCCAGAACTTCCCTTTACCTACTCAACTCCAATTATGCTTCATACTGGCTTCATAATTTTTTTTCCATCAGAAGGCTGCACCCAATAGGAGCCTGGGGAGAGCATCCCCTACTGCTGGAGATAGGAGAATCTTTTACATCATGGATTTTTAGATAGTTTACATTTCAGTTCTTAAACTTTATGGATTGAACATTCTCTTCAAGACATATAGGCAGTGAGGGACTCAGTCCAATGACTTAGGCCTAACACCTCCATGTTCCTTAATTCTTCAATTCCCAGGTTGCTCAGTCAACCCAGTGTTCTGAAAATACACGTTCCAGTTGCCAGAACACTTGCATATCCTTAGGGCCTTTGGCTTCTGATGAGTGCAATTGATTCTTGCTTTGAGCTGGTATCTTTTGACCCCTAAGCGCCATCTGTTCAGAAGACTCATGGCACCATCCTTTCGGCCCTGAGTGATGTGTGCTGAACCTGTGTTGGGCTCCCGAGGGCATTGCTGATCTAGAGCCATCTTTCCTCCCTCCTTCTATCTTTCTTCTGTTTCCTCTGTTCCAAGTTCCCATTGGCTGGGTTCTGTCTGCGGCTGCCTCCCCATCAGCTGAGCCTGAAGCATCAGGAACCAGATCATCCATCCCCCTGGTGGCAAACACTAGTCTCCTCTCTGGATGTGGGAACTCATGGGTACTGAGGTGTGTGCCTGTTCCTGTCTGCCCAGCCTGGACTCTTAACAAGTGGGCAGGAATCATTAAAGCATGCAAGAAATTAAAATGGAGTTGAACAATGAGGACCAGTGCCCTCCTGGGGTGGGGGTCGGGTGGGTAAATCGGATCACAGCATAGCATCAGCTCTCCAAGCTGGATCTGGGGAGAGAAGTAACCAAGCACAGTTCTCTCCAGATGCCCACTTGTCCCCGTGCTCCTCAGGTATGCAGCTGAGAAAAAAAAGGGGGGGGGGGCGGGTAGGCTCTGAGGCTCCCATGGGATGCAGCCACCAGCTCGTTACTCTGAGGTTTTTGCTAAAGATTAATATACTCAAAAGGCTTATGTGGCGCTTATGCCCTGGGGTCTCTGGCTCAGGATAGGACAAATTTAGACAAGCTATGGCCAGGCCACCTGCATGGTGGCCCAAATGTGCAATCCCCCACCCCCCACAGGCTCCTATGTCTGAGTACCTGGTCTCCAGCTGATGCAGATGTTTGGGGAGGTTGTGGAACTGACAGGAGATGAAGCCTCACTGGGCTGCATCTGGAACTGCCCGCTCTTTCTCCTTCGGGTTGCTGTTATTGGGGTATTTTGACTCTGTCACCTTGGAACCTTAGATAAGACACAGTGACCTGTCAGGAAGGCACACTGGTAGAGCTGGCTGGGAAGGGCCCTCAAAGCTCACCAACAGAGGGAACACACAGCACAGGAAGAGACACTCTCTAGTCATTCTGTGGTAGCCTCTTATAGGTCTCTGGACTGGGCCTCAAGCTGTCCCCAGTGGCTGTACAGAGGAAAAAAATCTAAAACCTAATATGTGTATCTTCCATGGCCCAAACAAAAAAATGACCTTGAATGTCTCAGAGAAGGGAGCAGACCCTGTAAGTAAGGTCCCTTCCTGAGGTCTTGCAAAAAAAAAAAAAAACCAACCAGATTTTATCACGAGAATGGAAGACTGGAAGCCAGAAAAAATCATTCCAAAGAGCCTAATCACACAGGCCAGGGAGACTTTGAAATTGGAATCTACAAAGAGGGGAAATATCACCAGGCGATATAGGGAGCAGATGTCACTAAAGGTCTGTGCTGCTGCCATCAACCTTGTCTTGATGTCTTGTCCACGAGACAGGACCTTTCAGAGGTCAAGAGAAGCCCAGACATTTCCAGAAAATTCCAAAAAGGAGTCTCCTGTGTGTTTGTTGGTTTCATGATCTTGACATGTGTTTCTAGACACAGGATGTCTTCACACAGTCAGAGCAAGGCAGTAGCATGTTGTGTTCAAGGCTGTCAAGGTCATCATGGGCCAATTTCAAAGAACTACCTCCTTTCTTTAGGACCTGTTGGCTGCTGATCTGAAAAACGCGCCCCTTTCCTGGGATGGTGTCAGTGTGTCACTGTGTGGCCTTACACACACAACATCATTGGCAAAGATGTCATGGCATTCGTGATCACTTATGAACATGATCTGGGGGAAAGTGGCCCTCCAGTCGCCCCCACCCTGTGATGTGCCTTAGGACACCTAGAGAGACTGGAGGCAAAGATGAGGTCACAGAGTGGTTGCTCCGCACGGTGTGCTTTTTGCTACTCCACCGGCAGGGTCAGTGCTGGGCTCTGATGATCCAAGCCCTTTCTGTACCTTCTCTTCATCTTTGTGCAACCTAGATTGACCCAACTGTTCTAGAAAACACCTAGCAAGGCTCGGTCTGCATAGGACACTGAGCTAGAAGAAGCCTTGGCGTAAGGCCACCGTGAAGCCCCTAGGTCCCTGAATCTGCTCTTCACTGGCTTCAGGACTGCAAATAAATGGCCCGTGTCATTTCTACAGTGTCACTCTCAATGGCCTGAGATCCCAGCAAGTGACAAACAGGATGTACTCAATGGAGATGTAGACTATGGCTGGTCAGCGTCACCTGCTGGCAGCACCTGGTACTGCAGCTGACCGAGAGCTGAGCCTGAGCTGTGGAGGAAGGAACTTTAAAAACCACATGAGCAGAGAAATAAACACCCAATAGAGAGGTGAAGATTGTATGGAGAGGAAGTGATCAGAGACCACTATGGTCCAGAAGGTTTCCCAGAGTTCCAAGTTCTTACAAATAAAAAGAAAACTGCCTCTTAGTCTGGCCTCCTGCTGGCCAATTTCCACAGTTACACCTTGATTTTCAGAGCGTTCTCTGGGAGCTTGCCCCACCCGTCAGGACACACGGACAGTGCTGTAAGGGGATTGGAGCTTCAGGAATTTGCCTCCGTGGGCTAGTGGAACATGCCTCTCTCCAAACCAGAGGTCCCCCCAGCTTTTATTGGTCCCCCAATATTCTTTACTCTCCACTGTATGGTGAGTCCTTTATAATCTCGGTCCTTACTTTTAAGGTTTCTTTTGCATTTGTGTGGAGCTTTGGGTGTCGCTCCTCCAATTTCCTAGCTTCCCCGTAGGCTCCAGCCACAGGGATAAGCACTGTGCCCAGAATGCACATTCTGCTCCTTATCTGGACTTCTGAGGACTTTCCAGCCTCCCAGGGTCTC